AAAAAAATTTGATATTTTGTGTATGAAAGCATTGTAATGTTTACTGATAATCTGCCAAATTTGGTTAACATTCGCTTACTAATTTAAACATTATAGCATGAAACTATAAGAAACACAAAATGGTTATAGGTCAGTCCCAGGGACTGTGCCCATGCTGAAAAAGTTAACCACTTCTGCTAGATTATACAGAGGGGTGAATATTTTCCTTGCTATGCTTGTCTCTTCTTCACCTTTCAGGGTCACTTACCTCATTTTCACTGGATCCCACTTTGTGGTGAGTGTTGGCCAGGCAATTGTGCTTTTATCAAACCAATTCCACACTAGTAATCACCACTTCAATATACTTTATACAGGTTGCATCAGGCTCTGTAGAAATGAGGTGTTCCATAAGACCACCAAGGAGATGACCAAGTAGTATTATGGTACTATAGTGGACCACCACTAATGGACTATCATGAGTAAAGCATAAGGGGATCCTACCTGTCCCTGTCAATCATCAGATTGAATAAATCTGAGACGGTTTGCTTTTAAAAATTTAGGGAAATTGGTTCACCTATTGCACTGTTCCAAGAGCACTGTTCCTTGGGGCTCCCCAATGCATATTACCCCCCTTCAAGATTCTACTAGTGGAGCTAGGGTGTCCTTACCACACCTAGTTTCCAGTCACTGGGGTGGTGGATAGAGGCTTTTCTTCTAGAGTATTAGAGTGAATTCTTCCACTCTTGTAGAAGAGGGCAAAGTTAGTGGGCCCTCCCAACTAGGTCCTTAAATGTTTTTCCCAGATTTTGGTAAGAGTGGCACCAGTCTACACGGGAGCCTACTTGTAATACCAGTTCAGATTTGATGCTCCTCTATCATCCAGTTGGGGTGTGCATGACCTTTCTGTTTGATCAATATAGGTTCAGTACACTGTTCATGGAAGAGGGTCCACTACCTCCTTGTAATTCTGAATGCAGAATGGTCCCATCCTTGGTTCTTGGTTGAGCACAGTTGTTCCACATCTTACCAATAATGAAACGTACCTTGCTTACACGGTTGGGGAGTGAAGATGAATGTTCATAATTCCAGACTGGATGAGTTCTGTTTCCTTTGGTTGAG